GCAAAAAGCTTTCCTTTCTTACGAATTTTTCAAATTAAAAGTTCACTGTGATTTTTTTTTATTTTAAATTAAACTTTGGATGAAAAAAATTTTTTTGAGCAAAGAACCAAGAAGGAAATACATTTTCAATTTTGGACTAGGGGCGACCCTAGTCAAAATCAATTTTGTCACTTTTTTCTTCGAGGGTTTATCCAAATGGATTAAAACTTTGCATAAATATTTTAATGCTTAAAACAAATACAAATAAAACATCCTAATTTTTTTTTGAGCAAAGAACCAAGTAGGAAATACATTTTCAATTTGGAATAGAAGCGACCCTAGTCAAAATCAATTTTGTCACTTTTTTCTTCGAGGGTTTATCCAAATGGATTAAAACTTTGCATAAATATTTTAATGCTTAAAACAAAAACAAATAAAACATCCAAATTTTTTTTGAGCAAAGAACCAAGTAGGAAATACATTTTCAATTTGGAATAGAAGCGACCCTAGTCAAAATCAATTTTGTCACTATTTTCTTCGAGGGTTTATCCAAATGGATTGAAACTTTGCATAAATATTCTAGTGCTTAAAACAAATACAAATAAAACATCCTAAAATTTTTTTGAGCAAAGAACCAAGTAGGAAATACATTTTCAATTTGGAATAGAGGCGACCCTAGTCAAAATCAATTTTGTCACATTTTTCTTCGAGGGTTTATCCAAATGGATTAAAACTTTGCATAAATATTTTGGTGCTTAAAACAAATACAAATAAAACATCCTAAAATTTTTTTTGAGCAAAGAACCAAGTAGGAAATACATTTTCAATTTGGAATAGAGGCGACCCTAGTCAAAATCAATTTTGTCACATTTTTCTTCGAGGGTTTATCCAAATGGATTGAAACTTTGCATAAATATTCTAGTGCTTAAAACAAATACAAATAAACCATCTTAAAATTTTTTTGAGCAAAAAATCAAGTAGGAAATACATTTTCAATTTTGGACTAGGGGCGACCCTAGTCAAAATCTAGTTTTTTATTTTTTTTTTTCGAAGGTTTATCCAAAAGGATTGAAACTTTGCATAAATATGCTGGTGCTTAAAACAAATACAAATAAAACATCCTAAAATTTTTTTGAGCAAAGAACCAAGTAGGAAATACATTTTCAATTTGGAATAGAGGCGACCCTAGTCAAAATCAATTTTGTCACATTTTTCTTCGAGGGTTTATCCAAATGGATTGAAACTTTGCATAAATATTCTAGTGCTTAAAACAAATACAAATAAACCATCTTAAAATTTTTTTGAGCAAAAAATCAAGTAGGAAATACATTTTCAATTTTGGACTAGGGGCGACCCTAGTCAAAATCTAGTTTTTTATTTTTTTTTTTCGAAGGTTTATCCAAAAGGATTGAAACTTTGCATAAATATGCTGGTGCTTAAAACAAATACAAATAAAACATCCTAAAATTTTTTTGAGCAAAGAACCAAGTAGGAAATACATTTTCAATTTGGAATAGAGGCGACCCTAGTCAAAATCAATTTTGTCACATTTTTCTTCGAGGGTTTATCCAAATGGATTGAAACTTTGCATAAATATTCTAGTGCTTAAAACAAATACAAATAAACCATCTTAAAATTTTTTTGAGCAAAAAATCAAGTAGGAAATACATTTTCAATTTTGGACTAGGGGCGACCCTAGTCAAAATCTAGTTTTTTATTTTTTTTTTTCGAAGGTTTATCCAAAAGGATTGAAACTTTGCATAAATATGCTGGTGCTTAAAACAAATACAAATAAAACATCCTAAAATTTTTTTGAGCAAAGAACAAAGTAGGAAATACATTTTCAATTTGGAATAGAGGCGACCCTAGTCAAAATCAATTTTGACTAGGGTCGCCCCTAGTCCAAAATTGAAAATGTATTTCCTACTTGGTTCTTTGCTCAAATAAATTTTAAGATGATTTATTTGTATTTGTTTTAAGCACTAAAATATTTATGCAAAGTTTCAATCCATTTGTATAAACCCTCGAAGAAAAACGTGACAAAATTGATTTTGACTAGGGTCGCCCCTAGTCCAAAATTGAAAATGTATTTCCTACTTGGTTCTTTGCTCAAAAACATTTTTGGATGTTTTATTTGTATTTGTTTTAAGCATTAGAATTTTTTTGCAAAGTTTTAATCCATTTGGATAAACCCTCGAAGAAAAAAGTGACAAAATTGATTTTGACTAGGGTCGCCTCTAGTCCAAATTGAAAATGTATTTCCTACTTGGTTCTTTGGTCAAAAAAATTTTATGATGTTTTATTTGTATTTGTTTTAAGCATTAGAATATTTATGCAACGTTTTCAATCCATTTGAATAAACCCTCGAAGAAAAAAGTGACAAAATTGATTTTGACTAGGGTCGCCTCTAGTCCAAATTGAAAATGTATTTCCTACTTCGTTCTTTGCTCAAAAAAATTTTAGGATGTTTTATTTGTATTTGTTTTAAGCACTAGCATATTTATGCAAAGTTTCAATCCTTTTGGATAAACCTTCGAAAAAAAATGAAAAACTAGATTTTGACTAGGGTCGCCACTAGTCCAAAATTGAAAATGTATTTCCTACTTGGTTCTTTGGTCAAAAAAATTTTAGGATGTTTTATTTGTATTTGTTTTAAGCATTAGAATATTTATGCAAAGTTTTAATCCTTTTGGATAAACCCTCGAAGAAAAAAGTGACAAAATTGATTTTGACTAGGGTCGCCCCTAGTCCAAAATTGAAAATAATTTTCCTGCTTGGTTCTTTGCTCCAAAACATTTTAAGGATGTTTTACTTGTTTTTGTTTTAAGCATTAAAATATTTATGCAAAGTTTTAATCCATTTGAATAAACCCTCGAAGAAAAAAGTGACAAAATTGATTTTGACTAGGGTCGCCTCTATTCCAAATTGAAAATGTATTTCCTACTTTGTTCTTTGCTCAAAAAAATTTTAGGATGTTTTATTTGTATTTGTTTTAAGCACTAGCATATTTATGCAAAGTTTCAATCCTTTTGGATAAACCTTCGAAAAAAAAAAATGAAAAACTAGATTTTGACTAGGGTCGCCACTAGTCCAAAATTGAAAATGTATTTCCTACTTGGTTCTTTGGTCAAAAAAATTTTAGGATGTTTTATTTGTATTTGTTTTAAGCATTAGAATATTTATGCAAAGTTTTAATCCTTTTGGATAAACCCTCGAAGAAAAAAGTGACAAAATTGATTTTGACTAGGGTCGCCCCTAGTCCAAAATTGAAAATAATTTTCCTGCTTGGTTCTTTGCTCCAAAACATTTTAAGGATGTTTTACTTGTTTTTGTTTTAAGCATTAAAATATTTATGCAAAGTTTTAATCCATTTGAATAAACCCTCGAAGAAAAAAGTGACAAAATTGATTTTGACTAGGGTCGCCTCTATTCCAAATTGAAAATGTATTTCCTACTTTGTTCTTTGCTCAAAAAAATTTTAGGATGTTTTATTTGTATTTGTTTTAAGCACTAGCATATTTATGCAAAGTTTCAATCCTTTTGGATAAACCTTCGAAAAAAAAAAATAAAAAACTAGATTTTGACTAGGGTCGCCCCTAGTCCAAAATTGAAAATGTATTTCCTACTTGATTTTTTGCTCAAAAAAATTTTAAGGTGATTTATTTGTATTTGTTTTAAGCACTAGAATATTTATGCAAAGTTTCAATCCATTTGGATAAACCCTCGAAGAAAAATGTGACAAAATTGATTTTGACTAGGGTCGCCTCTATTCCAAATTGAAAATGTATTTCCTACTTGGTTCTTTGCTCAAAAAAAATTTTAGGATGTTTTATTTGTATTTGTTTTAAGCACCAAAATATTTATGCAAAGTTTCAATCCATTTGGATAAACCCTCGAAGAAAAAAGTGACAAAATTGATTTTGACTAGGGTCGCCCCTAGTCCAAATTGAAAATGTATTTCCTACTTGGTTCTTTGCTCAAAAAAAAATTAGGATGTTTTATTTGTATTTGTTTTAAGCATTAGAATATTTATGCAAAGTTTCAATCCATTTGTATAAACCCTCGAAGAAAAAAGTGACAAAATTGATTTTGAATAGGGTCGCCTCTAGTCCAAATTTAAAATGTATTTCCTACTTGGTTCTTTGCTCAAAAACATTTTTGGATGTTTTATTTGTATTTGTTTTAAGCATTAGAATTTTTTTGCAAAGTTTTAATCCATTTGGATAAACCCTCGAAGAAAAAAGTGACAAAATTGATTTTGACTAGGGTCGCCTCTAGTCCAAATTGAAAATGTATTTCCTACTTGATTCTTTGCTCAAAAAACTTAAAGGATGTTTTATTTGTAATTGTTATAAGCATTAGAATATTTATGCAAAGTTTTAAACCATTTGGATAAACCCTCAAAGAAAAAAGTGACAAAATTGATTTTGACTAGGGTCGCCCTTAGTCCAAAATTGAAAATTGATTTTCTATGGTGTACTTTGGTCAAAAAATTTTTTTGGATGTTTTATTTGAATTGACATAAGTCTGACATAAATCACATACCAATATTATTTTTTGCAATGCATAGCTTAAAAAAATCGAAAGCTAAAATTACCAGAGATCGAAGCCGATTTTTTCGGCTTAACTCAATTTTTGATTTTTTTGATAGAAAAAAGCCATTTAACACCCATTTTAAGTATTTAAATTGAACTTTACATGCTTTACTATGATTCTGTGAAATATTTTTTCAGCATGTAGCTATAGTAAGCTCAGAATTTCAATTTAGCCGATTTTAATCCGATCGGCTTAAATTTCGGCTTAACATTCTTTAACTTGAAATTCTGAGCTCACTATAGCTACATGCTGAAAAAATATTTCACAGAATCATAGTAAAGCATGTAAAGTTCAATTTAAATACTTAAAATGGGTGTTAAATGGCTTTTTTCTATCAAAAAAATCAAAAATTGAGTTAAGCCGAAAAAATCGGCTTCGATCTCTGAAAATTACGACTGCCCCATCTGAATTTTGTTCATACTCTTCACTGTGGAAACCAAAAAACAAATTCTTTATCTTAAAACACTTGACAAAATAGCGACATAATTCAGGATTAATTACTTTTTAATAATATTTTAACATTTACGAGAAAATGTGGTTCAAATAAGTGTGAAGTATGGCCGAGATTTGGACCAAAATCAGCTATACTGGTTCATAGTGTTCCCGAGGGTGACAAAATTCAAACTAAGTGTTTTTGTAGCTGACATAATTATGACATAAATTAGGTATAACTTTTGAACTGTGTCGATATGGGTCTCGGCTGTACTTCACGCCCACCCTTCAAACTTATGCTGAGCTAATCTTGGTCTATCCATAAGACTTTTGATGGTACGGTGTGAATATATCCGCATTGGGTTTCTACCCGATACACTACTTTAAAAAATAATTACTCAAGATTTAAAGTTAGATCTAGAAAAATCACAATTTATGAATAATTCCTTAATCTTGTGTTCATTGTGATGATTCTAGCTAAATCGAAATAACCCAAACAAAAGTCCCGACATCAACGTGACTCACAATATCGTATTAAAGTTTTGTAATTCAAATGAGAATTTATTTTAGTTCTTCAAATCTAGTTGAACAAGTTGGTTGTCTTACCAATTGCATCCACAAAGTGTAATTGCCATTATATTATATTTACGGAAGGTACGAAACATTTGCTTACTGTAATTATCTCTGTAAGTATCGCTGTACAATAAATATTTTTGTTTATGAATTTATGAATGCACAAGGCTTGATAAGATAGCTGAAATTCGTCGAAATTTAAAATTAAACGTAATAAAAATTGATGGGTGCAATAAAAGTAATAATTAATTGGGGGGGTAATTCAAGGCACTTAAAGAATTCTGATTACTTAATCAGTTGAGAATAAAAGGCACTGACAGTGAAGAATTAATTTTATTCAGTAATCCAGTTATTTCACAGTTATACTAAGTGATGAATAATATTTTATAAATGGACGTGCAACAGATAACACCTGAAATCACAAAACTTCAAAAGCATTTTTAGGGAAGACGTTCATAAATGATGTCAAATAAATTTTGGAAAGGAAGCTTTGAAGCTGTAAAATCTTAGTTGTAGCTTGTCAGGGAAGACCTGTCACTCCCCTCGAGATTGAATTTAGTATGTTAAAAAAATGAGGATCCCTTGTAAACATTGAGGACGTATCGCTATGAGCTTGTGATATCCTTAGTAAATTGAAAACTTTCGATGACGAGAGGAGAGGGGTCTCAAAGTTTTTGAAGGGAAACGTTTTAAGGAAGAAGGGGTCTTAAATTTTGTGACAGTTCAAACAAAGAAAATTTGCTGGCTAGTGTGTAGGGGAGAGGGTCTAGAACCATCTCCATAGAAAATGAAGAGGAGGGCGTGAGAGTCTAAAGATCTCTTAGGCATCATTTGTGATCGACCCCTTCTAATGAGTTGACTATTTCGTCTAGCCGAAGAAATTCTGTTTTGTGTTTGATATGCACAATACATTGAAACAATATACATCCATATGCCATACGATAGCTTTTATCTTTATAATATTTTTGCTATCGACAAAAAAAAAGAATTGTATAAATATTATGCTTAACTGAATTTAAAAAAGAAAATAGTCTTGTTTTAGCTCTTGATTTGACAACATTACTTTCCCTACTCCTCTATTAGGAATTTATTTTAAAACAAACATGACGAAAGTGTCACAAAAAATTCATGACTTAATCGACTGTGATTTAGTTCTCGATAAAAATAAATTACAGAATGTGATGATAAATTTTGAGCGAGAAATTAAGAAAGGGCTTAAAAAAGCCTCACAAGCTGAATCGGAAGTAAAGTGCTTTGTGACATATGTGACTAAACTACCGCAAGGCAGTGAAACTGGAAAGTTTCTAGCATTAGATTTAGGTGGTACGAACTTCCGTGTCTTACTGATTCATCTTAAAGGCGAAGAGGATTATGAGTTTGAGTCCAAAATTTATGCAATTCCACAATCTATAATGCTCGGATCTGGAACTGAATTATTTGATCACATTGCATTTTGCCTTGCTGAATTTGTGCGAGAAAACAAAGTTCAAGATGAGGTGTTGCCTTTGGGATTTACTTTTTCATTTCCGTGCCAACAGAACGGACTTACAAAAGGTTTATTGATTAAATGGACTAAAGGCTTCAACTGTAGTGACGTGGTTAATAAAAATGTCGTTGAACTGCTCGAAGATGCCATCCGTAAGAGAAATGTGAGACACTAGCTTTTTATTTCGCGGCAAGACAATTTTTAATCATTTATTAAATACCCATTTAGGACATAAAAATCCTCATCTGTGCAATTCTCAACGATACAACAGGAACATTAATGAGTTGTGCATGGAAATATAATAATTGTAAAATCGGTGTTATTATTGGAACCGGCACTAATGCATGTTATATGGAAAAGTCATGTAAGGCTGAATTCTTCGAAACGAATGATAAGGTTCGCGAAGAAAATGTCATCATTAATACCGAGTTTGGCGCGTTTGGTGAAAAAGGAAGTCTAAACGAAATTATTACAATGTACGATAAGGATGTAGACGAAAACAGTATTAATGCCGGCAATCAACTATTTGAAAAGATGATATCAGGTAAATTTATTGCTGCTGATTGTTTTCATTTCTGCGAAATAATTAACTGGAAATCATAAGTTCGAGTTTATTGGCAAATGTTTTAGTGATCAATAAAATTTACTGTTTATTCAATCAGTAAAGGGGGTCGATTAAAAATGACTACCCCTTGTAATCTCACTTGTGTATACTAATAACAAAAGGAACAATTTTGATTAATGGGAATCGAACCAGTGAACTCAAGAGAGAAGATCTTTGTCCACTCAGGTCTAAAACGACCAATTTTGATCTTTAAACCTGAAAATTATAATAAAACGAAATAATTAATTGTGCTTTATCTTAAATAGGAATGTATATGGGAGAATTAGTCAGACTTGTGATTGTAAGGCTCGCAGAGAAAAAGTTACTTTTTAATGGAAAAATATCGGAAAAACTAAAGACTAGATATCAATTTTACACAAAATACGTCTCAGAGATAGAAGCAGATGATGAGAATGTATTTATGATGGCTAGAGAAGTATTAAATGAATTGGATATTCATGATGCAACAGATGAAGACTGTCGAATTGTAAGATATTGCTGTGAAGTGATAAGTCGGCGTGCAGCACAGCTTGTATCAAGCGCATTAGCAGTATTAATGCTTAGAATTGGCGATCCAAACATCACAATTGGAGTTGACGGTTCCGTGTACAGATTCCATCCAAAATTCCATGATCTCATGACTGATACAATCAAGGAAATTGTCCCATCAAATTATAACTTTAAATTTGTACTCTCTGAAGATGGAAGTGGACGAGGTGCAGCATTAGTTGCTGCTGTAGCATCAAGAGACATTAAAGATAAGATTTAATTTGATTTATTTTCAAAATCGCCAATGTTTTATTTGCCTTTATAATCTTGATACTTAATATTCTTTTTTAATGCTTAACTATATCCAATAAGCTTATATTTATATTCTTTCTTTGATTTTTTTTTGAAAAAATAAATGAGATAAATATACATATTTAAAATTTTTTTTTTTTGACCGATATATGTATGTATATATAAATTTTTAAGGAACTCCTATTTGAACAGATTCACATGTGCACCTATTACAATGCACGCTACCTCAAATAAGAGTTTCTTTAATTTTTTAGAAAGAGCACTTTATCCATCATGTTTTACTAAGCTATTAATCAATATATTTAGATTCAGACTTTTATCAAGATATATTCATACTCATTGCATATATTTTTTAATATTTTTTTTTTTCTTCTTCACATATTATAAGAGCAGATACATTCATCATGGCATTAATTATATAAATTTTTCAAAAAAAAAATGTTCATCACCTTAAGAATTACATACACATGCTTTTTATAATGATAATGGTTTTGTTGTTATTTAATAGAATTAACATATTTTTTTTATCGGTTCTCCTCAATATGCTAAACCAGTGCAGAATTAAGAGAGAGAAAATAGGAGGGGGAAAAAAGTCTAATATGTATTTTAAAGCGATTGATAAAGCAAGAAAGTAGAATTATATTGTTGTGATATAAACATTGAAAGGAATACTTATTGTATTTATTATATATTGTATGTTACATTTTGGTTTTTCATTCTGCAACAACGTATTTTCTTAAAATGTTGACGATAAGAAATTTCCTCGTAAATTGTCGCGATAAGGTATTGAAATAATTTTTTATAAATAAGTATCAGGTAATCTTATTTTATCAGTCGCAAGACAATTTCCAATAGGTTCGAACAATAACAAAATTTAATGACTTCATATTCGATTGATTAACATGCTTACGAAGAGATTATTTGAGGAAAATTAGAGATTCTATCTGTACTTACACATTACAAAAAAAAAAGATCTTTCGAGTAACAAAATGAAAATGAAAAAATCATCCAAACGATTACGATCAAATTTCTTTGGATAAACAAGACTGATTGATTATTTGATGTTCTTCTTTTTTTAAAAAAATTATTCTTACTTTCTTCTTTCTCACTACTGCTACTTATCATGTTAAAAATGGATTATTGATGTCGTCTTAACCCATTTCTAATTCGTTTAATTACAAAGTGTGGTAGTTACGTTCGTTTCGTGCTTTGTAGAATTTAAAAGATACGAATCCAATTGCCATCATTCCGAATGCAAACACCATTCCTCCGATGAAGCTTGTTGTTGACCATTGTGAACGAGGTGGCTCAGGCTTCATTGTCGTTGTTCTGTATATGATGAGAAATTATTATAAGATTTTAACGGATTTATTTAACTTGAAGTTTGAGAAGTGGCTCTAGAACCAAACAAATGTTTTTAAAATAAGCTGTTGTATGATTTCAAGCACAGTAAAATTGCAAACTGATATTAATACTCTGACAAATATAATAGTAATCCACAATGACCTTTCAAACTAATGCGCATCGACTAAGTTTAATCAGCAATAATTAAACGTGTAGATAGTTTTGGATATTATTTCACCATAATGGCAAAAAAGAACTTCTGTTGCAAAAAAAAATCATTATTCTCAAAATGCTAGAAATTCTTAGGGATTATAAAACAATATAATCCTTGTCTAAAACAGGTAGAAAATTACTGCTTTTGACAGTCTTAAAAACATGCGTTTGGCAGATTCTACGGGTGATTAAATTAGAATTTAGGGATAATTTTAACTTACGAAACAGGAGGTGGAGTTGTTGGTGCCATTGTTGTTGTAGTTGTTGTAGTTGTGGATGTTGTTGTACCATTTGTAGTTGTTGTAGTTGGAACCGTCGTTGTTGGAACTGTCGTTGTTGTAGGCCTGTAATTTATATTATAGTATTTCTATTATTAGCTAAAATTTGAATAACTTACGCAGTTGTGGTTGTAGTATTATCTGGAATTGTTGTTGTATTTTCATTTTTAGCTGTTGTAGTTTCTGGTACAGGCGTCGTTGTATCTGGATCATCGTCTTTAGGTTTTATTGTTGTTACAGATCTAATGGAGAAGTAATAAGAATGATGTAGTTTATTAATCAACTTATAAATTAGGTATCTTACATTTCTGTTGATACAGGATCCGGTGACGTCAAAATACTAGGTTTATCAGTAGCTGAAATTAAAGATTATGCACGTAAAAATTAGTGAGTCATGATTCCAAATATTATGGTTATCATAAAACATAGAAATGCGTAAAAATCAGTCTTATAGCCAGTATAATTGGATATAAATAATGCAATAATTGATTATTTGTGTGACACGATAGAAAAATCCCCTTTTAGAAGATTCTAGGAATTTTTTTTTGCGAAAACAAAGGAGTTTACGGAACTTACAATTTTCTAGTGATGCAGCCATTCCAGCATTGAAAATGCAGCCAATTAGCACAATACCCACTAAGAACTTCATCTTTCTAATGATATTAATGCTTAATTTACGCGTTAAACTATTATTTTTAGCAGAAAACTTAATTATCAACCTCTTCGTTTTACAGCAAGAATAAATGTGGCCAAAATGGACTGATTCTCAACTAGTGAAAAATGCGGGCAATTCAAATTTATTTTGGCAGTTACATTTTTCATGATCGTTTTATTACTAATTTTACTTTTTATGCTATAAATCAGACATTTGAAATTTCATCATCATCAAATAAACTTAAATCAAATATGCTTTTTTTTTGTTGGATATAAAAGATAGATATGAACACATTAAATTTGCATAAACTCTGCAGAAAACGAATAATTATTGGAATCACCGTTTTCAAAGCCACTATCAAACCGACCGAAAAGTCTTCGATCCTTGTTTTGTGCTGGAAATTCGTTGGTCAAGTTCTCCTTATCATCAGAGTCATCATTCAGCTCGTTTTGAAGTAGATTAAACGATTCTGATAGTCTTTTCTTTTTCAATTTGTTGAATCGACGGCTTGCAGGTGTGCAATCTCTTCCAGCTGTATATCAATAAAATGTAGCCTTAGTTAATAAAAATAAATATATGATTATAAAGTCAATAGCTTACCATCGGAATTCATGGAAATATCATTGGAAGACATGGCAGGACTACACTTGTTGGAAAAATCATTGCGTATCGGAGATAGTTCTCCAAACATATCATCATTAATTGCTTCAAAGGCATCGCCATTCTTATTTTGTGAGCTCATAAACGAGCTTCGAGTCAGTTCTGGGGTTTTTGGGGCAGGACTTAAATTCACAGCAAACACATCATCCGTTATAAAATCATTTTCAGGCGTTTCCGGACGTTGAATGAATAATTTTCTACGTAAAGTGCTTATATCCATCATAGATCGATCATTTGCCGGCAGTTCGTTCTCATCATTTTCATCTTCATCATTAATTTGATACTTTTTCAATAAGTCTTCAATCTCTCGAGGTAAATTCGGTGGAAAGGATAAGGCAGTCTGTGTGGTCATATCACGTTTAATTTTAGGAATTGATCCAAATGGTGAGGTATTCGAGATCATGGCACTGTTAGAAGTTAAAGCAGTCGAATTATAAATTTGTGTTGAATGGATTTCTTCAGTCAATTGGATCTTGTGCTTTCGTAAATTGCATACATTAGGACTTGGAACAATTTGTTGTTCCTGGAAGAAGGATGAAATTGCAGCTTGTGCTTTTTCTTCAAATTGCGGGTCTTCTTCTTGACAAAATTGTGTCTCGTGAGGAACTACATTCACTGGATTTAAATTCGATAGTTCCTCTATTGTCCATTCAAATAATTCTAATTTACTGTCTTGTTTTGGAGTCGTTGGTGCTTGAAATAACGACGGACTAGATGTTTATAAATAGAATTTATTTATTATTAATTATGAATGAAAATCTTTGTTATAGCTTTACATACCTTGAGATTACAGGTAAACGAAGTTTCTCATGCAGCTGATTCTCAAAAGGATTACGTACTATACGATTTTTATGAGAATTAGGTGACGGAGTACAATTTTGATTATTTGAAAGCAACAAAAATCGCGATGTAAAGTTTTTCGGTGTCGAAATTGGCGTTTTCCTTATACCTAATCCATTGACTAATATCCGTTTTGGAGTCTTTTCGTGATTAACTTGCTCCATTTAATGTTAATTATATAAAATATAAGATAGAAATCAGTTAATTTAAGGAAGAAAAGATTAGGTTGTAACAGTTGAGAAATTTAAAGTTAAATGAACGATATTAACGGTCAATTTTAAGCCGCATTCACATGAAATGTTTGCGATTTTATGCCTCTGTGTCTATCCATTTGGAAACTTCTTCGTCACCAAGAAAAAATAAAAACTTAAAAAATGATTAAAAATATTGTATATTTAATGTTTTTGTCGCTATTCTCAAACAGTTTAGCCTACATCATTACTGTAGATTCTCATGCTGAAGAGTGCTTCTTTGATAGCGCGCAAGCTGGCAGCAAATTAGGTAAAATAATATTGGGTGAAATAAGTGCCGAAAAAATATCTAAACTTTCTATTTTATTTTATTTTACAGGCTTAATGTTTGAGACAATTGAAGGTGGATTCCTTGATATAGACGTTAGAATCGTTGGACCTGATGGAAAAATCATATATCAAGGAGATCGTGAGACAAATGGAAAATATACATTTGCAGCTTACGAAACTGGAATTTACACGTACTGCTTTAGTAATCAAATGTCTACTGTAACTCCTAAAGTTGTCATGTTTACTATGGAAATTAGTGAGGCACAACAAGGAACACAAGGTGAATTAGAATTGCATTTTTTAACTATTTGAATTTAATTCATCGCTTATTTAAAGGCGCACCAGGTGAAGGCGATGCTGGACATACGAAGCTTGATGACATGATTCGTGAATTGTCTGGATCTTTAGTCGGAGTTAAACACGAACAAGAATATATGCATATAAGAGATAGAATTCATCGAGAAATTAACGAATCGACAAACAGCAAAGTCGTTTGGTGGTCAATCTTTGAGGCTGTAATTCTCGTCCTAATGACTGTTGGACAAATCTACTATCTTAAAAGATTCTTTGAAGTCAAGCGTGTAGTGTAGATAATTTTTGTTTTTTTTTTTATTCTCAACAGTATGTTCTTAATTTCTAATAAACAAATTAATCAAATGAAGTAATTTTCCAAAAAACATCAAGAACTTTTAGTCAGCAAGTGCTCACCTGCTTCATTTTCAGATAACATAGTGACTAAAAATGTTGATTTTAAACATTGATGAACATATAAAGCTACATGAAATATACATGATTAAAAGGAAGAGATAGTCTGCGTACTGATAATTACAGCATATTTCGATAAAATCGTATTTACTCTCAGAATGTCATTCACAAAGTTAAAGCTATAAAACCGTTATTGTTTCAGGGAGCATGCTAGATTTTAACGTATTAAAAAGTTTGAAAATAATTTAACTTGATATTTTTTTTTTCTCATGGACAGTCTTTCGTTAACACAATGATTCAGAATCGAAAAAAATGTTCAAAAATTAAAAAATTTCATGTTAATTAAACTATGTCCTTTAAATGCCAGATTAAAGATCTTAACTTGAGGCATATCCTATGAAAATATCTCGTCCTAATTTGATGTCTAACTCCAGAAATCATTAATTTAATCTCACCCAAAATTTGTTTACAATTTGTGTATGAAAAAAAAAATATGATTTTTTCTACTTTAGGTTGTTATTTGGATGTCTTGGAAGCAGTTGCTAGCTAATTTAAGCTTTGCTTTACATATTAAAATAACCAACTCAATAAAAAATCTGCTTATTAAGCCTTAAAAATGGAATTGAAATCTGAGTATTTTTACACAACTTAAACTATTCATAAGTTAAAAAGTCTTCCAAAGACCTCTCTGAAACCTATATAAATCCATTAATTAAGTTTAAATCTGTCTCCCATATTACTGGGGACATGCCGTTTGATGCCGTTTACGAGATATTTGCGATCAAAGTTTACATAAATTTTCATACAAAATTTGATCATGCACAATATTTTTTGATAAACTTTTACAAACTTTTGGTAAAAAATCATGTCTATCCTTTATATTAAGGACTGATTTTTTGAGCAATGATCGAAAACATCATCTAGAAGATGCTAAAAGAATCAAATCAAGAGAAATTAACAAAAACTTCCAATTTTCTAATGTGTTGGAAAAATATTGTGCACAAGGAATTTTTGAACATTTTTTCCGAATCTGAATCATTGTGGTTAAGTTTCAATTAATTTGATTAAGTATCTTTAAATATCTGCATGGAGGAACTTACCTTGATTATCACTGCTTCTTTTGTCCTCCATAATTATATTAAGTAGTTCACTGACAAATCTCGAAATATATTGAAAATGCGTCTTAAACTCTTGATGACTAGATTAATTTGTTACTCACATTTAAAAAAAAAATAAACATTTTCAACTGTAATTTCGAGCCAAAACACAAATAATTAAAAACAATGGATTTTACAAGTTTATTTAACCATTTAACAATAAAGGCTGATAACTTGGATCTAGCTATGGATATCCTTCCACAAAAAGACACTCTATACAGCAGCAAAATCGTTGAACTGGATGAAGATGTAAAGGAACTGAAAAATCTCGAATTTTTGGTAAGTTTAACTAATGATATTCAATCGGATCTCTTGATTAACACAACACCTACTATTGATAGATGAAAAAAGCTATTGATAAGCATAACAAGCGCCTAAAAGACGAATACAGTAATGTTAAAGGAACTATGGAAAATGTCAATGAGAAAATGCTGTATCTTTTAACGGAAATTGATAAGATGGAACCATCAAAGAAGACAGTCCACAATCCATTTACTGAATTAAAAAGCCCAGCAACAAGATTATTTGATAGGCTAGAAGTGAATCCAGCATTTTCGGAACAAAATACGCCAAGAATGTCAATCGATATGTATGCTAAAAGTCCATTCGCAAAGAAGAAAAGCTCCACAAAGTTGCAGCTTAAATTCTCAGATTTTGAGGCAGAAATAACATCTAATCAGTTTGATAAAATTCCATCGTACATAAAGGGACGACTAGCTTTACATGATGTTCAAAACTTCCTCGACAGCATCGTTATTAAGTGCTTTAACTCAAAATATGAATTATACTATAAAAATCGTACCTGCCTTAAGCCAAGTGATTATAATTTACAGTTATTTTATAAGGAACAATCAAGTTACTTTGAAGGCCTTAAGTTCATTACATTAGGAGATCTAGCTAGGATTATGGGCAAAAATGTCGATAAGAAGGATGAAAAATTCCTTCAATGCCTGCGCTTTCTACATATAATTAAAGAGGCACGCAAAAATTCAGTAATATGCTACATCTGGATCGAAAAATAAGCCACAATAATTTTCATTCATAATTTCATGCTTTCCATTCCTCAATCGTTCTCTTCTTCTTCATGTATGTATTTTTTTTTTCGTTTCATCTCTCAGTTCTCATTATATTTGGAACTTTGCTGCACACACATCAAAGAAGAATATTTTTTTCGGTGTATTACAATTTTTTAGTCTTTATTCTGCTCCGAGCGAGAAAGTACAATAAATTCAGTCGGATCATTAAAATAGTTTATAAATTGTTGTGCATGCAAAGTTCTCGATTTCATTAAGTATATTGCAATATTAGTAAAGTTAAGAAATGTTGGAGGAAAAATACATAATTAAGGCACAAATAGAACTGAACGAGACAGAAGAGACAAAAAATAATTCATTGGCAGAATTGAGACTTTGGATCTCTCGACATGATTTCTTTAAGAACTGTAGACAGGGTAAATAAATTAAGAATTTTATTAATCTTCTTCTTATTCATTGTGTAATTTGTAAACAATTTTGAAAATCAGCATAGATTATCCGTTAAAATATCTCAATTATGTTTGTATACATACAAGTTATTGACCTATTTGTTTATACTCTTTGTCATTTTCTCTATGACTATGATTTTCTCGTTAGCTGTTCAGTGGACCAAAGTGCTACAAAACCATACAAATTTCAAATTAAAATGAAATAATTTGTATAGTTTTGGATTCCTTTGAAATTAATTTGTATGGTTTTGCAACACTCAAATAAACTGTACCTGACGACATGTAAATGAGTGTTAATCACTTGAGCAAGACTCTAGGATGCACCGCTGAATAATAGCAAAATAAATATTCTTTTATGTGCTTTTAGCACATTCAGGCATCGATAAATTTACATTTCCTTATTGCATATTAGCTTTAATTCACCTTGCCTTTATGACCTTATTTTAGATGACAAATTTCTACTTCAGTTCCTTCGAACAAAAAAGTACAACATGGAACGAGTGATTGATCTATTTGAGAGATACTTGCTACTTAAAAAGACGTACCCAAAATGGTTTGATTATGGCCAGACTGAAGAGGATAGAGTGTGGCAGTTGTATGATGCAGGATTTGTGTACCCGTTAATCGAAAGAGACGAAGAAGGAAGGTCAGTCAACAATTTTTAAAAATCAGTAAAGCACAAAAGCTTCATTACTTATTTTTTGTGTAATAATTTCAGACGAGTCATCATGATTCAAGCACAAAAATTGGATCCTAAATTCTTTACATTTTCTGATATATTGAGATTAGTGACGTTAATCGCACAAACATTGTTGGAGGAAGAAGAGACACAAATTTCAGGTGTTGTGGTCATTCTCGATTATACAAACGTAACTCTTGCTCATTTACGTCTATTTCCATTGAGTGATGTGGTCAGTTTTGTGGAAATCATAAGAACGAGTTCAATAGGAAGACACAAAATGATGTATATGCTGTCTATGCCTAATTTTGCAACAATGTTGGTTGAAGTTGCAAAAAAAGTACTCAGCGAGAAATTGAGGAAACGGATTAAATTACTTAAATCAATTAATGATCTACAAGATGAATTTGACATGTCTTTACTTCCATTAGAACTTGGTGGCAAAATTCCTGAATCTGTGATGTTAGAAGAATTTAAGAAACTAGCAATTGAGCGTAGTCCTAATATTAAGGAAATAGTCAATGGTGTTGACTGGGATAAAGTTGCTTTAGAAGTCGACGATGAGTCGTGTACAATAACTTGATATTTATTCAATTATTAATTTATCTCTGTGCTTCTTACTCGAACAAAGTTATGGAAATACATTCATTTAATTCGGTTTATGGTGTTTAGAATTCTTAAAGATTAATTAATTATAATTTTTATAATAATTTTTTCGGATGTCAATTTTCGTACATATTAAGAATGGCTTCTCATTCATAGCGAATAAAAAATATTTTAAGCATTAATTAAAACTATACAACAGCAATTTTTAATAACAAACAATTGTATGGTTCTGGTAAGGCACAAATTGTGAAAAAAAATCGTAAATAGGTAATTATTAAAGCTTAGTAAAAATGTAATAGCTTGAGAATATTTTGGTATGTAGTAAGAGAGAGGTTACTGTACCAATACAAATACATTATTCAGTTCTGTTCAGTAGATTTCACAAAAATATTTTAAATTTAAGTTCTTACTGGATTTTCGTACTAAATAGATCATTATAAGGCTGAAGATGACTGATCAATTATCCAAGGAACAGCAGCGATTGGCAGAACTTGTATGTTATTCATTACTTCATTGTAAAAATAATTAAAGAACTTTTATTGGTTATATTTATTAGGAATCAGAAATATCAAAGTTTGAGGAGGCAATAACAAACATAAGACAAGGAGACTTTTCGGAAACAAGTGATGAGCTGAATAGAGCAATGACCGAAAATACCAAGCTAAAGTTTAGACTGGAAATTCTTAATAAGGTAAATTAAGAAGAAGTGAATACGTAGACAATCAATATAATTATTTACTATTATTGCGACATATTTTAGGCAATAAGTAATGAACGTAAAAGCCTAAAGACAGCACCACAAGTATCTGGGATGATTTCAATTGTAAGTCATTTAAAGGATGTCTTCCAACAAGCAATTGTTGCAGCATTTCCAGAACTTAATAATGCTCCTTGTGTAGTAACGGAATCACCAAAAGCCGATTATCAATGCTCAAGTAGTATGGCAATATGTCAGCTATTAAAAGAGAAGCAAATTAAGACATCACCAATGGAAGTAGCTAAGAAAATTATTGAAAAGATCCCATACTCATCACTGATTGATAAAACTGAAATATCAGGTCCTGGATTCATCAATATTTTCTTATCAAAGGATTATGTCAAGCAAGCAATTCATTCAATCTTAAATGATGGCGTTAAACCTCCACAAACTGAAAAGAAACGTATTGTCATTGATTTTTCATCTCCAAATGTCGCAAAGGAAATGCATGTTGGACATTTAAGGAGTACAATTATTGGTGACAGTATTGCTAGACTTTTGGAATTTATGGGACATGATGTATTAAGAATTAATCATGTTGGAGATTGGGGGACACAATTTGGGATGTTAATTGCTCATCTTGAAGATCGATTCCCTGATTTTGTTAATGTTTCGCCACCAATTGCTGATTTACAATCATTTTATAAGGAATCTAAGAAGCGATTTGATGAGGATGAAGAATTTAAGAAGCGAGCATACGATAGAGTAGTTAAACTACAATCAGGAGAATCTAATTCAACGAAAGCATGGCAACTTATTTGTGATGTATCTCGACGAGAATTTCAAAAGATTTATGATTCATTGGACATAAAAATTGTTGAACGTGGAGAATCATTTTATCAATCGAGGATGGAGAAGCTAGTTAAAGAATTGGAAACAAAAGGACTCTTAGAAGCTGATGATGGGAGATTTATTATGTGGGGAGATAAGAATGATGATTTTGGTGGCATACCATTAACAATAATCAAGACAGGTGGTGGATTTACTTATGATACTTCCGATATGGCTACAATTAAGCAACGTATTGAGGAAGAAAAGGCAGATTGGTTGATTTATATCACAGATGCTGGGCAAGCGACACATTTTAAGGCGATATTTTCATGTGCCAAACGTGCAGGAATTCTAGATTCATCAAAAATTCGTGTTGATCATGTTGGATTTGGAGTTGTTCTAGGCGAGGATGGTAAAAAGTTTAAAACCCGTTCAGGAGATACAGTAAAGCTTGCTGAACTATTAGACGAAGGCTTGAAGAGGTCGATTGCAAAACTCATGGAAAAGGAACGTGACAAGATTCTTAATGAAGAGGAAATGAAAGAAGCACAAAAGAATGTAGCATATGGATGCATTAAGTATGCAGATTTGTCTAAGAATTGCAAGAACGAGTATGTCTTTAGTTTTGATAAAATGTTGGAAGATAAAGGAAATACTGCAGTTTACTTGCTATACGCCAACACTCGTATATGCTCGATTGCCAGAAATTTAGGTGAAGAGTTTTTAAAATCACTTCCAAAGCTCAAAAAGGAGACATCAATTGAACTTGAGCATGTAAAAGAATTGAAATTGGCAAAAGTATTGATCCAATTTCCAGACATAATTGATCGAATCCTGCGAGATTTGACTATTAATACACTTTGCGAGTATCTCTATCAGATTGCTACAACATTTACTGAATTTTATGATGTCTGTTACTGCATTGAGAAGAATAAGCAAGGTGAAATTGTCAAGATTAATACATCAAGGATTCTACTTTGTGAAGCTGCTACTGCTGTTATGTCTGAATGCTTCAAGATTCTTGGCCTTAAAACATTGCAGAAAATTTAAATAACTTTGTAACATCCATTCAATTTATATTTAAATTAATGAAATAATAAAATTATGCTGGAGAATTTTATTGTAACGTAATTTTGAAGTTTGAATGCTTGATTAGCGAGACATTCAGCCAAATAGAAGCAAATAGCATGTTTTGAGTGTCTTAATTAACGGTTGTAATTTAAATTTCTGAGAGGTTCGATTCTTTAAAATTCCTACAATAATTGATCGAATCGAGTATTCCCCCTGACTGTGAAATTGAACTTAATAAGAAGCAGGAAAAATTTAAAAAAATTAAAAAAGAGGCTTAAATTGACGAGAAAAAGGTGTGAAAAACATTAATTAAGATACAAAGGATAACAGTTTAATCGTGTTTATTATAAATGTGATGAAAAGAGAGTGAAATATAGATGAAAAATAGTTTTTTTCAAATCGCAATTTTCAAAATGGGCAGAAAGTTTTTTTTTTGGAAGAAATTGCATTAATTCAATTAATTTGAAAAACTTTGATATCAGTGTGTTTTGGATATAAAGGTGAATATCCAACGAAAGCAATTAATATGATTAGATAGTGTATGGATTACAAGAAAGTGATGATGAATATGTGAATAATAATTATAATAAACTTTAATTAACAACCTTCTACAGTTAATGTAGTCAGACTCAACAAATGTAAAATGAATATGTATATAATTCATACTTTAATTATGATGATACGTCTTAATTGCGATTTTCAATTTTTATGCTCAAAAAAAATTTTTTTTCTTTGATTCCGACGAAAATCTATAGACAGCAGTCGTGGACTTTCTTTTTCCTCTTTCTCATACCTAGTCGGGCTATTCTTCTATTGATTTACTTGCATCTCTTTTTTTTTGACAATGCTGACTGCTGATGATGTCGAAAAACAACAATACATTATCGCGAAGAGCCAACCATTCATGAATAAATAATTGATTAAACATATATATATATATATATATATCCATTCTATAATGTAATCTAACGACACATACAACCGACAAGCAAGTACATTGTCTGATAATAATAATGAGTTGATCTCTTTTTAGACAAGAGATATAATATGTGTGAACATTATCGCATCATTATTACTGACCCATTTTTTTATTTATTTTGGGCTTTTTTTGTTCATTCATTCATTATTAAGCACTTGACTTGATTTTCATGTGATTTTATGCAAACGGTTCATGTATTTCAATTAGATTTTTTTATTTAAAATTTACGATTTTGTAAAATTTAAACTCGAAAACCCTACAAATTATTTCGTCTTAGAAACAATTGTACAGTTTTAATATGCTCATTTGTCATCACACCCCCCAAAATAGGCTCTCACTCATATCATGTGTATTTGAACTAATTATTATTGTTATTTTTGGAGGAACTATAAAATCACTCTTTTATCAGTTCTGTGACTATGAAATATTTGTACTGATAAAGTTATGTTCCTCATACTAACTTACAGTGCATAATCTATCTCAGACAAAAAGAAGTCAGTCTTCTCATATGGCATCACTCTCTCTTCTCTATTTATTATTTCCATCCATTCTCAAGTGTCGCGCGCGATTTGAAGGCAGGCAAAAAAAACATATTAAATAAATTGTGATCTAAAGTAAACTAGATATAATAGTTGAATAGTAATTAGTCATTGCTTAATTTTTAGATCTTTTCATTTAAGATAAGTAAGTAGTCATGGTATGCAGGATAAATTGAGAAATAAATATCAACGAGAGTGGAGAGAAGAAAAAAATATCTAAATGAATGTGCCGTAATATCATTTATTGATTTTTTTTTCTGCCTTTTTTTCTTCCTTTTCGTACGATATATAAACACATTTTCTTTATTTCCGTACTCTCGTCTCGATAAAGAAAGAAAAAATTTGTACTCTTTCTCAATTTCTAATTTGAGAAGAACAAAGTAGATTTAATTATTATTTTGCTTACTTATGAATCATTAAAGCATATAAAAAATATAAATATCTGATTGGCTGAAATGTATGTTGTGCACCACACAAACTTGGTTTTGAAAAAATAAAAGTGAATGAGAGGAGATTATAATTTACATGTTACAAAAATGGGCATCGACAAAATATCTTGTTGTGTCGTGAAAGAGCGAGGAAAGAAATAACTGGTAGCAACATGATTCATTCTGGATAACGTTTTAGATATTTGATTCCTTGGTTGAATATTATTCAACTTTTTAATTATTACACTTGGCTTAGTTTCTCTCGTCATCCATCTAGTCACATTATCATCATCATTTTTACCACCTTCGGATTAAAAGGAATTCATTTTGTTAGCAAATTTTTATATCATACAGCACATTTTGTCTCATTTCCACTGATTTCCTGGTTCGTGTAATTATCTCTATTGTGATATTCGTAATTTCAAAAGCGAAAAAAAAAACATGATTCAGACAAAAGTTATTCAGTGACACAATCTTCTATCTTTAATTCATTTAAGCTACAGTCATTTCAGCAATAATGCAGTATTGCGATTTCCTTTTCAGTTGCTCCAATAAAGAAGCTTGATTTCATGTCAAAATTGTTCGATTCAGTTCAGTTCAAAATGTGCTTAAATCAAATTTTAAAAGTCAGTTAAAAATTGTTCAATTCTTTTCAGTTCTTCTTGTTTAACTCCGTTCAGTTCAAAATTTAAATTTCAAAAACCCGGTAGAAATCGAAAAATAATGAATTCCGATAAAAAAAATTAATGATTAATGCGCTTGTATCATGCGTTTCTTAAAAACACTCTCTCAATTACGTACCTTATAAAATTTATTACAGCCTCAAAACTGTCAATAATCAATTAGCTTCATTATTTTTGTCTTGTTATCTTTCCAGTATCTGTAAAATCATCACTATCATCATTATTTTTTGTGTGCTAAAACACGTAAACGACGAGCGAGCGAGTAAGCAGCAGCAACGACGATAAAGGGGGGAAAAGAATGTATGTTAGAAAGGATTTTTGAAAATAATTTTATAATGAAAAATTAATGAACAAACGGATATTCATTAAATATTGCAGAAGAAAATGAGGATATTGAAATAGCACGGAAGTAAATCAATCTTTCTTCATTCTCTCTCCTTTTTACATGCCAAAAAATATAATAATACATAATAAATTTAAATAATATAAATCAGAAGCAGCAAGGAGGTAAAAAAAATCGATAAAAAAGGAAGTAAATTAATGATTACATGACAATAAGAACAAGACAAGAAATCTATGAAAGCAAAAAAGGATTTTTAATTATCATCAATTAACGTGCGTGTGTGTGTGGGTGTGTCAATAAATCAATAACGAAGAAAGTTAAAGAAAAATAACATCAAAATGGCACCAGCACCGAGACCAGGGTCCTTAAAAGACCCTGAAATTGCTGAGCTCTTTAATAAGCACGATCCTGATAAGATCTTTGATGATTTACGTGAAATTGGTCATGGATCTTTTGGAGCGGTCTATTATGCTCGCTGTAATTTAACGCGAGAGATAGTAGCTATTAAGAAAATGTCATATTTGGGGAAGCAAAGCATGGAGAAATGGCAAGACATTTTAAAAGAAATTCGCTTTTTGCGTCAATTAAATCATCCAAATACGATTGAATATAAAGGCTGTTATTTGCATGAAAACACAGCATGGCTCGTGATGGAATATTGTGTCGGTTCCGCGTCAGATATTATTGAAGTGCACAAACGACCACTGAAGGAGGAAGAGATTGCAGCAATTTGTGATGGTGTTTTACATGGACTGAGTTACTTGCATCTCTTGGGACGAATTCATCGAGATATTAAAGCCGGCAATATTCTTCTAACTGAACAAGGTGTTGTTAAATTAGCTGATTTTGGCAGTGCTGCAATCAGGTGTCCTGCAAACTCATTTGTTGGAACTCCTTACTGGTAAGATTAAAATTCATATATAGTTTTTTTTTCAACAGTCATTATGCGCATATTCTCAAATGTTCATTCTTTATGTTCCCAAACACACAACAAAAAATATCTGCTATGTTTGTAGGATGGCGCCTGAGGTAATTTTAGCAATGGATGAAGGACAATATGACGGAAAAGTTGATGTATGGTCGTGTGGAATAACGTGTATTGAATTAGCGGAAAGGAAACCACCTTATTTTAATATGAATGCAATGTCTGCACTTTATCATATAGCCCAAAATGATGCACCCGTTCTTCAGGTCCAAACACCCGATTGGTCTCATTTATTTCGTAGTTTTGTCGAAGTTTGTCTTAAGAAATCACCACTTGATCGACCGACGTCTAGTGAGCTTCTTGCTCATGCTTTTGTGTCTCGAAATCGTTCACCAGCCGTTTTAGTAGATTTAATTGCTAGGACAAAGGCAGCAGTTCGAGAATTGGATAATCTAAATTACCGTAAAATGAAAAAGATTTTAATGGTAGACAATTGTGAGACGGAGAGTAATGTAGGAGATCCAGATGATACACCAGATGACCAGATAGGAGGCGATAGCAGTAAAAGTAATAGTATTACTTCTGAACATTCAATGCAATCAATTGGAGGCATTGTAGCAAGTAGCCAAAGTTCTTCAAGCAATTCAATTCCACCAAATATAGATCAACAAGGAAATTTGACAAGAAATTCATCACGAAGTCGATTACCCCCATCACTTCCACCACATCATCAGCAGCCACAATATGTTAATGCAATTCCAGGACATTTTCAAATGTCAACAGGACATATTAATCATCATCATCATATTCCACAGATTATGCAAGCGTCTGGTTCCAATACAACACCAAGAGATCATCATCAAATTCAACAGCAGCAATTATATAGTAATGTACATCACAATCATGTGAATCAAGCGGCTGTAAGTGCAATTGCTGAACATGGACCGAATAATTTTGCAACTATTCGAACAACAAGTATTGTAACGAAGCAACAAAAGGAGCATATGCAAGAAGATATGCATGAACAAATGTCTGGATATAAGCGTATGAGACGAGAACATCAAGCGGCTCTCTTGAAACTCGAGGAAAGGTGTAAGGTTGAAATGGAGGCGCACAAGGGTGCATTAGATAAAGAATACGATTTATTACTCCATAATTTTACTCGTGAGTTAGAGAAACTCTCGACGAGACATCAACAAGAACTCGAGAAGCGTTTGAAGCAAAATAATATTGCAGAAAAGAAATTATTTAAAGAGATTCAATTGCGTCAAGAAGGTGACCGAAAGGCTTTCGATAATCACCGTAAGAAGGAATATAAGGCAAATAAGGAACGATGGAAGAGAGAACTTTCGATGGATGACACAACGCCAAAAAGACAAAGAGATGCCACTTTACAGTAAGTTTTCATTATTATTAATCCTGTAGCATAATTAAAGTATAATTCTCTTAGATCTCAGAAGGAAAATCTAAAGATGGCAGAAGCTGCTGAAGAACAAAGGCTCTTACGAGTCCAAAAGAACTACATTGAGTTAGAAATGCGTAAATTTAAGCGGAAAAAAGTGTGCTCTGTACACGATTTAGAGAATCAATTATTGAGAGATGTAAGTTGATAAATTTATTAATTCATAAATGACCGTAAATCTAAGATTATTATTCTTATTGCTTTCCAGGAATTAAGTAAGAAACAGCAGCAGTTAGAACAAGCACATTCTATGTTATTGCGTCATCACGAGAAAACACAAGATCTTGAATATCGCCAACAAAAAAGTGTTCATGCTCTCAGAGAAGATCAGGTTACTATTAAATGATTCTTATCTCCATTGAATTGCATTAATGTCACTTGTTTTTCTATTGCTTAGATTTGCAAACAACATGAGAGCGAATTGAAAAATCAAAAGGATTATATGGATCGTGCAGAACGTGAGTTATTGCGAAAACATGCCACGGAATTGAAGCAGCAACCTAAAAGTCTTAAAGTATGACATTTATCTGTGCTTATTTTAAAATGTGGGATTTATTCTAAACATTCTTTGTTTATCTTTCTTTATCAACAAACAGCAAAAAGAGCTTCAAATACGAAAGCAGTTCCGTGAAACGTGCAAGACTCAAACACGCCAATATAAAGCATTAAAAGCACAAATTCTTCAAACAACACCAAAAGATGAACAAAAAGCTGTGATAAAGAAATTAAAGGAGGAACAACAACGAAAATTAGCGCTTTTAGGTGATCAGGTAAGCTATTGTCGATTCCTTGTGTCTCAGAACCTTACAAATTACTTTAAAATTGCAATTTGCGCTGTTTGAATTGCAAAACCCGCTAAAACCTCACAAATTCTTTAGAAACAACATTTGTATGGTTTTAATGACAAGAATAATTCGTAAGGTTTTCAAACTCATTTGAATTTTAAATTCTATTTCAGTATGAACAAAGTATTGCCGATATGTTACAAAAACAATCACTGCGACTGGATGAAAGTCAGGAAGGTGAATGCACTCAATTGAGAGATCGTTTACAATATGAGTTGAACATATTGACTGCGTATCAAGAAAAGAATAGACTACAGGCACAGTCTCAGCGAGATCGTGAACGAAGGGAGCTCGAGGAACGAGTTAATGTCAGAAGGGCATTATTAGAGAGCAAGGTTGGTTTGAAATAAAATTCTTTTGATAGTCTAGAACGTATAGTAATAAATTGATTAAATATAGATGGAGACAGAGCTTCAGCAATTTAATAAGGAACGATCCGAGAGGATTATGGCTTTGAAGGATAAGCATGAACGTCAGTTGGAGCAATTCGACGTTGAGTCAGCCAGCATGGGATTCAGGTAAGACATTTATATTAATTTAATAGACAATACTAATGAGTGGGTTATTTTACAGCGCACTGGCACTGGCAGAAGCAAGCCAAGAGACGTACCCAGAAGAGGAGGGAAGTTTGAGTGGATCGATGCTCTCCCTCGCACATAGTAATTCATCCACATCATTTCTAGCAGGTTCACTATAGCACTCAAATATACAACACTATAGACGTAATCATTGCGACGATTCCTATGAGAACTCAAGTCGCAAATCCTTTTAAAAAGCTTTCCGTAGAAATTATCTTATTGACCCTTTTTTTAAAAAGAGATGAAGTAAAATCGTATTTTTTATTTAATGAGAAAAATCTTTTCTGAAATGAGGACATCCTTAAAGGATAATAATAAGACTAAAAAATTCGTAAAAAGATTGTTTACTGAAATAAGAATACGAGAGCCTTTTTTTCTGTAATAAGAAATGGAGGAGAGTATTGGAACTAAGCTTGAATTGAAATGAATGAACAAATTTATCGATGCAAAGATTTTCTGCTCACAGGCCTATGTGAGCTTTATAAATCAACATTAGGTTTTAATTTTTATCGTTTCTTATTTTAGATATGTGTGAAAAATACTTCTTTTTGTGAAATGGCTACTTATTAGCGATTTGACTGCTTAACTAGTGCACTTTAGTAAAGGAAAAAAAATTACTTCACATTTATCTCTCGTATTAGTAGTTAGGTAGCAATTTTTGAATCGAGGTTGTTCATTCAATTCTTTCACAAAATGAAAATGGAAAATTTGAGTGGTTTTATGCTTTTTACGAAAAAAAAAAATGAAAGGATTTATTTTTTACGTTAATGAGCATTTCTCTTTAACTTTTGATAGAGATAATTAGATGAGTTCATGCAAATAAATAACGATTGAAATTAAGATGAAAATTTATCGGTCAAAATATTTGAAAAGCTAACGTTCGAAATATTTTTGAAAAACTGCTTCAAAATTTTGTTAAATAACGTTTAAATGAAATTTGAATGTTCATGAGAATTTAAATGTTTCTGGAAAAGCATTTAAAGGACATCAATCTTGAGTGTCTGATATAAAGCTATACTCGAAATTATCTGAAATTCCATATTTCAGTATGATCGAGGTAATTTGAATGAACACGTCTATATATCTTAAATTACCCTTCTCACTCTTCGTCCAATTTCACTATATTTTATTATGTAAAATTTTATGTTGCCAGTGAATGAATTTAACGAAGAGTTTTTCTTTTTTTGTGTCTTGTTTAGAATGAATTCTTTTTATTTTTTTTATTATTATCAATGTTATGTTCACTTTAAAGTAAGCGAGACATAGTGCTAAATCTTGATGAATAATAAGAGAGAAACATGCTATGTACTAATTTAAACTTCTTCTTAAAAACGTTAATTAAACAATTTCATGGTAAAACAAAAAAAAAATATTAAAAAATGATAATAATAGAAGTTTAGTTTAAAAATGATGAATTTAAACCGAGATAGATTTTGTCAGTAAGAAGCTGTGGATAAGTTGACTGCTAAACAGCTTAATTTGTCAGTTAGATGTGATAAGGATTGAATTCAGAAATGACGTCAATAAAGGACAAAAAAAGAAATCTGTAGATTGCACAAATATTATCCAGATAAAGAATCAGTCACACTTTCCCTGTCCATGATCGATTTTGTTTATTTTCCTTTTAATTGAATTACCTTGATACCATTAAAAAAAAGAGTGTAAACACAGACAACCTTGAAAGCATTGCTTGTTAGTCATCAATTAATGTATTCACAATAAGATTTAAAACTATTTCCTTTCATGAACAAACGCTTCAACCATCGAGTTTATGCTTCGTAATAATGTCTTGAGCAGTCATTAAGTTCATGAAATTTATGCTTATGTAAAGAGATGATGATGATGTGAGAGAGTCAGTGGATTTGAATGATGAGAATAAGTAATAATACCAGAACTATTCTTTGTTTTCCTATTATATCAATTAATATAGTAATGATAAAAATAATAAAATTAATAATAATAATAATATTACATTAATATATACATAAACTATTATAATATAAATAGATAAAGAAACATACAACTACTGCTATTAATTAAAAGTAATAAATGCTAATAATTTCCGTTAAAAAAACTCTCCTTTCTAGTTCGATATATCAAGAAAATTGTAATTGTAAATATATTACTGACAATTGAAGGAAAAATAATTTTGAAAGAAAATAAAAAGAAAAAAAAAGTTTTAAACTTGCATTCGAATTTTGGGACTTTTTCAATATTCTTTATTTCATTCCATTAAATGCCATAGACGATATATATTGTGACACAGATTTAAGCAGTTATCTGCTTAAGACATAAAATAATATATAATTCTTTTAATTATTACAAAAATAAAAGCTCAGCAATCTATTGTGTTGGCGAAAATTCATTCGGAACTAAGATTCTGGAGTGCATGTCTTGTATGAGAGGCACTGTGTATTGAACGCAAAGATCCCAGCCTGAAAATGAAAATTGTCAAAGAAAAATTGAAAATTATGATTACCGTAAGTATGGAACAATACAATTCCTTTAAAAAGTCGTGTAAAAAATTCTTCAAAATGTTGTAAAACCCTACAAATTTCCTCAAAACTGTACAATTCCAAAACTTGGTTGATTATATAAAAAAAACTTATAAATGTTGTTTGAAACCTTACAATTCCATGAAATTTGTATGGTTCTAGGAGAAATTTCTTAATAAAAATTAACTAGTTTTGAAGAAAATTTTCTCAGTAGAATTTGAAGGTTCTTTAAATGTATTTTCAAGGTCATTTTTGTTTGTCTTTCAGAGTTCATTCTTATTATAAATATTTACCGGGTTGGCTCCAAGCTAATTCACGAGTTTCTTTGCGCTGTTGATAATTTTCATAACACCAAATATGATGAACGTTGTACAATCGACCAATTTGTGAGAAGAAACCAGCATAAGCTTCATTATTCGTCTTACGAAAATTGATGGCTCTAGCCCAATTGTTTCCCCATTCAATCATAGTACCAGGCTTTAGGCGATAGCTTCTCATTTCATAAATGTGACTCTTTTCGCGTGATTCACTGACAGGCCAATAACTAAATGCTAGCAGGTACTGAAGATGACGTGCTCTCAAAAGGCCACCTCTTTCAGCTTTGAGCTTCTCATAGTCCTTAAAAATATTATTTATTAACAATTGAAAATTCCAGCAGTGCATTTAGCATTACCTGATCTCTTTGCATTTCCTTTTCAGCCATATCAATCTTCTCAAATCCACCAGTATAACGCCATAAATGCAACATTTGATCCAAATCGCCAACCTGAACAGACCAACTTCCGACTAAATCACATCCGAGATCTTTCTTCGACTCAATCAACTGAACTGTTTTTGTGCTGCATTAATAGTTGTTATGAAAATCAATTAACTGATAAGAAATATACAAGGCGGATTACTTACTAATTCTCGAGATACTTTTGTGTCGAATCAGGTCTCACATTATGCGTATGTAAAGCATAGACGATCTCTTTATCACTCAACATGCGACTGTGCGATTCTTTAGATGCTTCCATCGGTGAGATATTTTGACTCATGATTTTCTTGAACCACGAATTCGCTTGGGACATTGAAGCACTCGTATAGACATTTCTATCAATGAATAAAGATGATGACGATTGAATTTAATGAAAACAAAAATAAACGTAAGTAAATAGGAAGTGCAGTTGTCAAAATAGAAAGATCCACAAAGCATAAAATATTGGAATCAAAATTATGTATAAATTTAACTTAAAATTGCAGATATGTAAGATATTCAGCAATGGACAAACTGTACTTCAATAAGATATGCACTTCCGTGAAAATGTGCTAAGGAAAATTAGATAATCTGTGGAAAATTTTGCCGATCTTTCTTACCTCGATTGATTTAAAATCAAAGGATTTCGGATGAATCTTGACACAGACATGATTCACAAAGTATTTAACTACAATTATAGTGCCTTAAAACACTTGGAAAATGAAAGAAAAGTATTTATTAAATGCCCTTTAAATTTGCACTAATCAACAAACTTTTCACTTCTCTCTCAACAAATATTGTAAGTCAGTCAGACACAAAGTCGTGAATACACTGCTATAAATTTCCACATCAATAATTATGAATTTGTAGATTTTTTATTAATATCTTAAGGACTGGTATCCTTAATTGATCCACAATAGCTTAGAAAAATATATGCAATCGAATGACGAGGTCCATTTGTCATAAACGAGTAAATTATTAACCAGAAATCTGATCTTTTTGACAGTGTCAACTGCCTAGCCATAAAAATTGACTCAAAAAAATTGTGAAATTGGAAAGAAGTAAAAAACATATTTTTCGTTAAAAAATTAATGTAAGAAATGGCTTTTAAGACATCACAGCTAACAAAACTACTGGCAGGTACGCTAAGCTATAAGAACAATGTGTTGTCTCAGACAGGAATTACGAAATACTCAAGGTTTTTGTCATCGGATGGTAATTGTTATTTTTTCAAGTCATATGGCGGAAAATGGACATAACGTTTGTTAAATTTTACAGCAAATAAACAACAAGAAGCAACTCCTAAAGATCCAGCGAGTCCACAGCTGCTGTCTAAACTATTTCCACAAACTGCTGTATCAGATCAACCGGAAGTAAAAGAGGAACAAGAAAAACAAAAACAACAAGATGAAGGTGTTATTTTTGTCAAATTTTAAAGATCCATGAAGTCATTATAAAGTTAATTGATTTACATTTTAGAGGAGAAAAAAGAGCAAGACAAACAATGGAAACGCATGAAACTTGGTTTTTATGTCTTCGGACTGTCTATGGGAGGAATGGGTATTTGGTCACTGTATGAAATGGCACAGCCAGAAATCGATTCTGAAGGAAAGGAAATTGAAGATGAATATAGTCACTTGCCAACGTTTGATAGATACAAAAGTAGAATCTTAAAGAATTTCAATTACTATCAGAAGGTCAGTTGATGCTACCTATTAATCGGTTTCATATAATCAAGGCATTTATACATTTTTATAGTTTGTGCAAGAACCTTCAGCGGATAAATTGTTGCCTGATCCTCTTAAATATCCATATGTTCAACCAAAATACACGCTAGTACTTGAAATGAAGGATGTTTTAGTACATCCAGACTGGACTTATCAAACAGGCTGGAGATTCAAGAAACGCCCTGGCGTTGATCAATTCTTAGAGCAATTAGGACGATTGTTTGAAGTTGTCGTGTACACTGCTGATCATGGAATGACTGTTTTTCCAGTCTTAGATGCATTAGATCCAAATGGTTTCATTATGTATAGATTAGTGAGAGATGCTACTCATTTCGTTGATGGACATCATGTTAAAAGTCTCGACAGATTAAATAGAGATCTTAGCAAAGTCATTGTCATTGATTGGAACCAACATTCAACGAAATTTCATCCAGAAAATTCATTTAATATTCCACGTTGGACTGGGAATGATGATGATACGACTCTTTTTGATTTAGTAGCCTTCCTGAAGAGTAAGTAATTCAATGCCTTTATAAAGTTGTTCAGTAGTACACTTTATTTTAGTTCAGTTCATTTGAATTTTCGAAAACAGCTAATTGAACTGAGCTGAGTTGAACTCATTTTTGAAGTTTAAAAAACCGTTAAATTAATAAATTCTTTGTAGCGATCGTGACTGCAGACGTAGATGATGTTCGCGAAGTTATGGTATACTATAAACAATTTGCTGATCCAATTGAGCAGTTCCGTGAGAATCAACGTAAATTACTCGAACAAATGGAAGAGAAACAGAAAGAAGAACAGCATAAAGCACCATCTATAGTCAAGAAATGGACCCCTAGTTTCTTAGGTCATAAGTGAAGATGATGAGAGTACTTCCTTTTAGCGATTGAGACAGAAAATAATAAATGTTTGCTTAAATATAAATAATCTTTATTTATCATCATAGTTAATTAATTTCAAAGATCTGCTGGACATAGAGGTAATTTAACAATCGTGTCTCAATATTGGAAGCAAAAAGTAAGAATTTTAAAATAATCAGCATCACTTAATGTTGAACACTATCACAAAAATATGGGAAAAGAATACAAACAGGTTGGTAAGTTTAGTTGCCAATAGTCTCTGTCAATCGATGGATTTCTCTGTCATTTTTACGCTTCAAGTACCAGTTTTCGTCACTTTCCTGCTTCATTCTTGCATCTTCTCTGCCTGATGATCTACGCTCAATCCAATCATCTTCATTTACAGCCTTCTGTCTTGTGAGTTTTTGTCGTTTTTGTTGATTCTTTGCCTTATCAGCATCAACATTATTTTCTTGGTTCTTTACACGCTTCTTAGTCTTTTTATCTTGTTTGCCAGAGCCTTCATAATTATTTGGATGCTGTGCTTTTCTCTTTTTTGTCGGATTGACTGACTCTTCATTTTTAGGTTGTTGTGGCTTTCGTTTTTTGTCCAAATTTGAGCCATCGAATGGCTTCTGTTTATTTTCTTTGGTTTTCGTACTTAAATTGTCATCAACATCAGCAGTAGTCGTGAGGCGACTACTCTTAATTTCTTGGATTTCGTCATCAAATGACTTGAGGATTTCATCAGTAGTTTTGGATATAAAGTCATTATACATAATATCATTAGATTTGTAGATATCAGAACTCATTCTTTTAACGATATCATCAATGGATTTATCCTGCTTATCATGTAGCTTTTTGAGTCGTTCCTCCATTTTCTGCTTTTTCTTCTCGCAATTTTCCAAATTATATTCATAGAATAAGTCATCCTCGTCAGTAAAGTAGCAATAGTCAGGAAGTGAATTGTATTTCTTGTCCAAAACTTTAACGACTTCTTCTCTTTCACCACCAAGCCATACATCTTTTGTGACTGGTGGTCTTCTAGTCGTTTCTTGTTCTGTTTGATAATCTTGGATAATTCTTGAAACTGGCAGTGCATCAACAATAGTTGTGTATGGACTTGATTGCTCCAATTTTGTCATTAATTCATCTAATCGAGTTCTTAAGACTTGATTCTCTTCTTCAAGTCGCAGAATTCGTTGCTCATAGACCGAAACTGTTTTTGCCAGCTCATTTTTCAAGCTGGTTACGTTCGTGTATAAGACGGCAATAATTAAAGACATTCCAATTAGAAGCAATACACCGTGACTGTTTTTATGACATGTAGCAGTATCAGGAGTTTCTTCTTTTACTTCGTACTTCTCAAGAGCATTGAATGGCAATTCCTGTTCTTCTTCAGTTATTTCATATGGGGTGCTTGGTGGTGTTAATAAATTTGGGTCCTCATTGTCTTGATTATTTTTAGCTTCATCTTGTGCCTCAAAATTTGCTTCTTGGTCGATTTCCTCAGCTATTTGACCCCTTTCAATTTCAGTATCACTAGCTGTATGTTCCTTATTCATTTCGCTTTCACTTATGATACTAATTCCATCTGAATCCTCCATTTCCTCCCTTAAAAATAGAAATGTTTGACTATAGACTATTTAAATTTATTCTTTATGTGTGTATGTAATTAGACAATAAATACTTACGTCGTCTTAATGTGATCTGGAATCTTGCCAGCATTTATCTCGTCTTCATCAATGTTTTTAATATACAGCCAAGAATCTGAGACTCCAGATGATGAGCTTTTAACAGAACTGTCCATTATCAACACAAAATGTCAACTGACGATGTCAAGAATGACTATTTCGCAATTATTATTTTTGGATAGATAAGATACAGCTCAGCAGTCAACAAAAAATAAACAGAAATGCGTAATTTGTTGATTTTTCCTGTGTGTCTTATTTAAACATATAAGATTATGTCTGATTATTACATTCCAGCATGAATCATGTCTTTGTCAAATTGATATTCACAGAAACTTATGTTAATTAATGATTATTGTGAAATTTAAGTTTTGTAAACAAAACAAAAGAAAACTTTTCTCTTTATTCAGTAAAACTAGTTTATTTTTGAAACATTTACATGACTGAGTTAATTGCTGAATAAGCAGGCAGCCTAGCCGCATAAATCGCACTTCTCTTAGACTTTACGATATTGTAATTTTTTGTGGAAGGAAAAGAAAATGTTATTTTAAGTTTATATAGTGTAGTTTTTATTAATTAATAATGGATAATACAGAATCTTCCGATCAAAAAAAGGTAATTAACATAAATCCTATCGATGTCTGAAAGTTAAAAAGTTAAAATTTTTGATAAAAAAAAAAATTATATCCAAAATGACAAAAAAAGGTTTTATTCCAGCTACAAAAAAAATGGTTAAGCAAGTCAAAGAATCCATCAAGCCTCAAATTAATGAAATTAAATGACATTATGACTCAATAATTCACTTCTAAGAACTAAAGTGGAATAGAACAAAAGAAATTTGATAATTTAAAACATCCAGAATACAAGAATAAAGAGAGCAGCAAAAAATACAAGAAAATAGCATTTTAGAATGAAAGTGAAACATGAAAACATTCAAAATCTTTTTCGCGCTTGCATACTTTTATTAATTAATATTTGATGCCACACTTAATGGCAAAAATTTAACGGTAAAAAGTTTCTCATTAAATTGTGCCTTAAATATGATAGACAGGCAATATTAACTTTTTTTTTATGGTGATGACATCCACCCCCAAACATTTTTTTTTTCTCGAGCCTGTTGTTCCTAGAAATGTTGATTAATAATGAATCACTTTGTCTGACTGCTCATTTATCATTGAATTTTTTGGGGTTCGGTTCTAAACTAGATATAAGTTGTGAATTTAGTATACCCTAGTCCATAATAAGCTACCGGCTCTTGATATTGGGCAATTTGATCTTCTGCATAACAAAATATGATCCAGCCACTCAAAAAATGCGTCAGCTGACAATTTTCGTACTAATTCAAATTTCTTCTTCTTCCTCCTTTCTCCTTCTCATCCATTCTCACCTCAGCCGTTTTCACTTTAATTTCAATTTAATTAACGAGCAGCTAATGAATTCTAATATATTATAAAGGAACAATGAATGATATATTTGCCGAGTGACGTGATATTCACATAGCCCGATCATTAATATATTATTGTATTTATTTACTGGCTCATACTTAATGACTCACACATAGCTGATTATTACCTCAGATACCGAGAAATGAAAAACCACGTAAAAATTAAACTTTTCTCAGAATATCCAATTTTAGGAGAAATACCTTAAAATGTATGGATTAAAATGAGCAGATGGAATTAGAAATGAGAGAAAAGGAAAGGAACGAAGGCAAAGCATAAATTTATGAGAATGCTATAATTTAATACACAAACATATGCTATTACATGCATTAGAAGGAGAATGCGTTAGCCTCAAGCATGCAATTTTCTTTACTTAAAATGTAGACCAAATTCGATCGACCGGTTCTGTCGCATTGTCCTATATATTTTATTAATTTATGTATATAATGTACATTACTAGCGCAAGTTGTTACGAGGAATAGTACCTCACATTGGTTTGAAATTGATTTATATGCGGGATGTAGAAAATGTTGAAAACTGACTGAATGATTTATGCTTTACATTGCATCAACTGTGATATCAGCTGTTTGTTTAATTTTCCGCTGTGATTGAATTTTTGAAATTTGATTTTCAGAACCTTACAAATGTTTTTATTGTAAGACTTTTGTATGGTCTTCGAATTTTAATTTTATAAAACCGTTAAAATTTGAATTTTTCAAAGCAGTTAAAATTTAAAATTCATAATTTAACTTTTAATTCTCAACTATAAGCTATATACATTTTCAATGTCCTTTTGCTTACTGTCAACAAGCTGTGATAAGTTCAATGAACTTTCTTTTCGTTTATGATATTTTTTTATGAGCGAAATGCATGCGCTCTTGCCGCTTATTTAAACAAGAAGTCGTTTGATACAAGCGAGTTTTTAATATATAATTTGATAATATATGCGGGTAAAAATAAATCTTACTTTACTGTTTTACGTTCTAATTCTTTTATAGCAACATCCAGCCTTTCCTTTTCATTATTACCTGTTATAAATGCTATTTAAGTTTGAAATCTGAAATAAAAATTGTTATTTACATCAAACGGGTTTCTTTTTCGCAATCAAAATCATATGTTCACAAAGTTAAATATCAATTTATGGAGTAATCATCTCAACTTACTCACTCACTCTGCAAAGACAAAAGAGCATTGAAAAGGCTTTTTTTTTTAAATAGAATTAATTTATTAAAAGATAATAGACATGATGGTCATTAAACTCATCACATCTCTCGTCTCTCCAAAAAAAAATAATAATAATCTGATGAGTATGGTCTGCTATTGCAGCATATTGTTTGTATTTATATACAATCATCAGATAAACATCAAACAATAATGAAAGAGAACAACGAAATTTTCAAGCATGTACGTGCTATGACCCAATAATTTAATTAATTCTGCTCGTTGTAATAATAAATAATAAATTTTGTCCGTTATTTTGATGATTTTCTTTTATCATTGAAAGCTAGTTTTTGGAAATTTAGTGGGTAATTTAAGCTTGAGATGTGACCTAATTTTTTTTTTTTTTTTTTTTTTTTCAATTAGCGCCTAAAAGGCTTTATTTATTACTTAAAAATTTTAAATAGTTAACAATTATGTTTTGTTTATCCAATTTATTTTTCTTTACAAATTCATTAAATTCATTTAACAGGTTTTGAGAGTAGTACATAAATGACCTTTTTCCTACTTTAGTATAGTAGTTAGGCACATTATAAGCTCCACCCTTCCTCAGCGTATATTTATTTTTATTACTAACAAGTGCAATTCTATTATTTAATTCACATGGCAATTTTTTGGTAATAATTCGGTTAATTGTCTTTAAGATGTTGACATTTATTCTAGTATGAACATTTACTATATTTAATTCTTTTCTTACTCCATCATGATTTTCCATTCTTTTCTTCAATTTGATAGCTCTTAAAAATTTGTTTTGTACTTTTTGAATGGATTCTAAATATTTTTTGTTAGACATATTTAACAAAAATGAGCAATAATCAAGATGAGGCTGCACTAGAGATTTGTAGTACAAAACTCTACTGCTCTCATTCATTTTAAATCCTTGCCTTCTTATAAAACCTAACTTTTTATTCAACTTTTTAACAACGTTTTCTGAGTTCAAATTGAAACTCAAATTTTCATCAACAATTACACCTAAATATTTTATTTGATTGACTTTTTCGATAGCCACATCATCAATGACAATGTTCATATCATCATTCATATTTTTCTTAGATTTATTAAAAATCATGTATTTACACTTATTAATATTAAGTGCAATCCTATTAAATTTCAACCAGTCTGATACAATTAAAAGAATGTCATTCATTTTTTCGACCGCTTCTTTTTGTGTGTTTGCAGTGACCGATATTGACGTGTCATCTGCATACATTATTATACTACAATTTTTCAAATGCAAAACCAAGTCATTTATATAAAGAATGAAAAGTACATTTGCTATTTTAGAGCCTTGTGGGACTCCTAAGCAAACTTCAACTTTATCACTATAAAGTCCATTAATTTTTACAACTTGCTTTCTGTTAGATAAAAAGCTTTTAAACCATTTAATAGTTTCATCACTGAAATTATATTTTTTTAATTTATCTAATAAGATCTTTCTGTCAATGGTTTCAAATGCTCTTTTAAAATCTAAAAAAATCGTTAAGACAATTTTTTTATTTTCAAGATTTTGAATAATATTATCAGTTAATGTTATTAGAGCCGTTTCGGTGCTGTGGTTTGCACGAAAGCCATGTTGAGTGCTTGAAATAATTTTGTTAGAGTCTAAAAATTCATTCATTTGGTCCAAAATTATAGATTCAATAAATTTTTCCAACACTGGGAGATTATTTACTGGTCTGTACTCTTCGGGTGTCTTGGGATTATCTACCTTCGGGATCGGCGATACTATTGAGACCTTAAGGGATTCGGGCATTTCACTCTTTATGATTAAATCATTAGTAGCTACTAATAGTTTATCGGCAAGTGGTTCATAACTTATCATATCAAAAATATTCTCTCCGTAAACAAAGTCATCAAAATTTTTCTTTTTAATGGTTTCAACATATTTCATTAACTGTTCTTTGTCAATGGTTACTAGGTTAAACTCTTCATTCGGTTGCAAAATGGCATCATTATAATCACTTTTTTTGGACTTTTCAATATTCGCTATTAGATTGTGTACTGACTCAACAAAAAATTTATTTAAACTATTTCTAAGTACCTTAGGGTTGTCAACTTCTTCTCCATTAAAAATTATAGCTTTGATTTCATTTATGCTTGGTTTGTACAATTTTTTTAATGTACTCCACAGTTTTTTTGGTTCGAACCTATATTTTCTTAGATTATTTTGTAATTCAGACCTTATATGACTTTTTATTTCTTTTTTGTATTTTTTGTTAAGCTCATCGTATTCTTTTAAATCATCAACTTTATTGCTCATTATATGCTTATTGTATGCACGACACCTGGTTTTCTTCAATTCAGCAATTTTTTTGTTATATTTGTGTCGCTTTTTTGACATATCAACATTTTCAACAAACGACTTCATTACATCCTTTAGTTCATTATATATTTTTTCGAAACTGATTTTCTCATTTTCAATATCAATTTTTTTACACAATTTTTTTAAAAATGTCTGCTTTTTGTATTTTCTAATCATTTTACAGATTTTGGGTGATGTCTGCAAAAAACATGAACTATTATACATAATATTGATGATATAGTGATCTGAGATTTTTTCATTTCTATCGATTTTGTAGCTTACATTATTATTATTTATTATTACATGATCTATGATCGACGAGGCATTTAAATTTTTTTTATTTGGCCTTGTTGGATCTTTGACAATTTGTCTAAAACCATGTTCACTTAATAAATTATAATATTTTTTAGCTGATACAGTTTTTGTCGCAACATTCAAGTTTATGTCACCTACTATAATATTATTGCAGTTGTAATTTAAGTGTTCATTAATGTACTCATCCAATATTTCAAAAAATTCATTGCTTTTTTCTTTAGGTGATTTATAAATTACCGTAATATCTACAACTTTTTCTAATAATATTCTGATTGTCAATAGCCACGTTCTGCTTTTAAATTTAGCGCTAATTATTGAATATTTAAAGTCTTTTTTAA